TAACTTCCAGGTGAAGCTCAAACTCCTGAGCTTGGAGCAGAGGGCCTTCTCCGGCTGCCTGCCCACCACCCCTCGTGCCTGGCCCTCACTCGCCTCTTCCCCTCCGGTGGGACCAGCACTGTGGCACTCATGTCTGCCTCTTCATCCACCTTCTTTCCTTGCCCACCACTGCATCACTTCCTTCCACACCCTCCCTACCTGCTCCATTTCTGTGCATAGCTGAAAGTTACCTGGGATTTCTGTAAAATTTCAAAGAGAATTTTGGGTACACAAGAAGGTCACCAGCTTTTCAGTTTGCTAAGTAAGGACCTAAAATTAAATGGTTAAGTAAAAAGTGCTCTGCTGTGCTTATTCGCTCAGTCATGTTCGACTGCCAGGCTCCTCTGTCCATGGAATTCTCCAGGCAAGAATACTGGAGTGGGTTGTGGTTCCCTTCTCCAGGGGACTCTTCCCGACCCAGGGATCCAACCCAGGTCTCCTGCATTGCAGGCAGATTCTTTACCATCTAAGCATCAGGGAAGCCCAAGTAAAAAGTAGCTATTCCCATTGACCATCACTCATTTCGTAAGAGGATCAAACAAGGGCTTGGCCAAAAAAAAAAAAAAGAAACAAGGGCTTAATCTCAGAAGGAAGACACTTAAGCTATGTAGCTATCCACTTTGCTTTTTCTCATTTGGCCTCAGACTAGTAGACTTCTCCACAGACTGTCCTGGGTGGTGCTGGGGCCCGGGTAGAGGTGATTTATTTCTCCTCAGGAGGTTGTCAGCTCCTCAGTGTGAGGTTTTTGGCTTATTTGTTTTTCTGCACAAATGGAAAAAAGTGAAAGTGAAGTTGCTCAGTAATATCCGACTCTTTTCGACCTCATGGACTGTAGCCTACCAGGCTCCTCCATGCATGGGATTTTCCAGGCAAGAATACTGGAGTGGATTGTCATTTCCTTCTCCAGGAGATCTTCCCAACCCAGGGATTGAACCCAGATATCCCACATTGTAGGCAGACACTTTACCGTCTGAGTGGAGGAACCATGATGAGCTTTCTGGTTGGTGGTTTACAGGTTGTGAGGGAAGGTGTGTAGTTCAGAGTGGAGGCGCTGCCTGGCGCGCCGCTCAGCTTGTGGGTCCCTGTGTCTCCACCCCACGCCCCTCTGTGAATGAATGGCTTTGTGGTTTGTCCCTCTCCCCTCGTTCCTTCATCTTCCTTTTTCTTTCTTCGGCCTCTTCTTATCCCGGTCCCCTCCTGTGTTCCCCCTCTGTACTCCAAGCCTGGAGCCTAGTAACCCGTATTTTAACTGGTCATGATATACAATTTAAAAGTATTGTGTTAGAAAATGTTTTATGTTCTGTGTTCTGGATTTAGAGTCAGTTTTTAAACAGATGTTTTTGTGTGCTGGGCACGTGCTAGGTCCTTTAGCCTGTGATCTGAGGTGACCTGTGTAGAAGGAAGCCACCCCCTTCCTTAGAAACAAAGAAACAAGGTATAAAAGAAGTTGAGTGCCTTGACCAAAACTACAAATCTGGTATGAGGGCCTCTGCCATCTTTCGTATCGCATTTCTCTATTCCAAAACCCAAGTAAGCAAACCCAAACCCATTTTCAAATGAACAGAAATAAGTCTTTTGTTTTAAAAACTCATGTGGAAAAAACTCACAGGTAGTTTCTCTCAGTCTCACTTACTGGATGTGGTCATTCATTCACTCACTTTGTTATGAATATGAAAGTACCTCGTCCAATCTGGAAATATTAATATGGGGACACACTCAGTGTTGGATGTTAAGATATCAGTCTTTTTTTTTCCCAGGTGATTTTCCATAATTGAAATTTTACTAATTACACAGTTTTTCAGCAAGATGCAGGCTCATGTTAAGTAGTGAGTTTACAAAGATGAGTAAGATACAGCCCTTGAATTTGAGAAATGTGCAATCTAGAGATGATTTTTTAAAAATAAAGTGGAAAAAAGTTTATTCTCGGAGTCAGAAAGCTTTAACACTTATTTCTTACAAAACTTCAGGCAAGCTTTCTAACCTCCCTGTGCCTCATTTTCCCCATCTGTAAAGTGAGAGTGATGCTAATACTGATCTCAGAATACTCGGAGTACTGTTGTGAGAATTAAATTAGTTAGTTTGTGTAAAGTATTATAGGTAAGATGGTGCCTGGCACATAGTAAACCCTCAGTAAATGTCAAGCATTTGACATTATCGTCTCATTACCACCACCACCACTGTCCTATGCCAGTTACTTCCTGGCACACAGGGGCATATGGCAGCCAGGGAATGCCGGTTCCTTCCCCTCTTTCATTCCACATGCTCGCTGCAGTGAAACACTAGGAAATATAAAATACTCTTGTCTAAACGGAAAAAATGTGTTCTCTGATGTTGCTAACGTTTTATAGCCTTCCTGAGCCTCTGTGTCTGTAAACCTGTGATAATAGTACCTGCCTTGTAAGATACTATGAACATCACGTAAGCAAAGAACTACTTGGAACTGGAGTAGAGTGACCGTCCACCAAGGTCAATGGTAGAAGTACTAGTGATATTTTATTAGTATGCAGTTAGTATTAGTAATATTATTATTAAACTTATTTTCCCCTGAGCCCTAGTTTCTTCTGTAAAATGGAAATGTTTATTAGTAATAGCAATATACCTTCCATCTCCGGGGACAAATGGTCTGAGGCAGGAGTTCCCGTTATCATCTATCCTGAAGTAGGAAAGGCAACCCATTCCAGCATTCTTACCTGAGAATCCCATGAAGAGAGGAGGCTGGCAGGTTACAGTCCATAGGGCCGCATAGAGTCGGTCACAACCGAGAGACTAACACTGTGGTCATCTAGGGAGGTTTTTAAAAAGTCTCGTTATATAAAACAATCTTAACTATGTGTTGGAAAAATTTTGTTCAGTCTGGTAACATTCCTGGGTTATTTGAGAGAAAATTCCTACTTTATCTCTGGAAATCTGAGCCACTAAAGGTTACACATCCTTTTCTGGACCTCATATCATGTTGGGGATCAGAGCTGAGGGTCAAAAGTATACTGGTCTCCTTTTCTTCCTGAAATATCTTTCTGGGTTTGAGGGATCTTTTAAAGGCCCTGATGGCTGAAACTCACCATGGTGATTCTGAGGCTATAGGTCAAGGATTGGACCTAAAAGACCACTGATGAATCCGAACATGTCTGGGTTTAAGAACCACTGGACTGAATGACCATCCACGGTCAACCATATTTCCTATGTAGAGTTGTCCCTGTCTTCTGGTTTTAGCTTTCATTCTAGCATCCCCATACCCTCCTTTAATCCTTCAGTCATCCCCTGCTATGAGTCTAATTGTTCCCTGTTTGGTTGGGCTGGGAAGAACACAAAAGAGTAAGAGACTGTGTCCCTCCCATTTATCCAAGGTTGATCTGGGGCTAAGTTGCTTTGTGACCTTGGAGAAGTTGCTTTCCCTCTCTGGGCTCTCTGTACAACGTGGGGGGTGAACATGTTCCTGTGTCCCTTCCAGTGCTGCTAGTGTGTGGTGTTTTTCCCCTCCTGGGGAAGGCACGCCCCTTCTGGAAATTTCTGTCCTGAGCAGAAGAAGGGTCACCCTCTCCTCCAGCCCCTTGCTAGTCTTTCTACTCCGGACTCAGGGAGGCTCGACATCTTTGTATAAACTGGTTCAGTGGTATTTTTAATTTCTTGATGGAAAAATGATGAACTGAAAAGAAAATATTTTAAACTCCAGAGCATTCAGTGCCTGGTCCCTCGGGCCCATGTTTGCGGCTGAGTCAGGCCTCGTGTCAGCGTTCTCACTTTGATACTTGCCCTTCTGTAGCCTTGGGGGTTTCTGCAGCAACGTGGTTCCCATGGAAGGGGAGGGGCCCGGGAGGGTGCCCAGTCCACCTCTCTTGGGCACAGTATATTAAATCCAGCCAGGCAGTGAGAGTCTGTTGTTACATAATTTAAACAAATGTATTTATTTATTTGGCTGAGCCCGGTCTTAGTTGCAGCATGTGGCATCTTAAGTTGCGGCATAGGAGATCAGTTCCCTGACCAGGGATCGAACCTGAGCCCCCTGCATTGGGAGTGTGGAGTTTTAGCTACTGGACCACCAGCAAAGTCCTAGAGAATCTGTTGTTTAGATAAATATTTTTATTGCAAAAAGGAGCATAAAGGAGATTAAAATGTTAATGGTGCTTATATCTGGCGCTGTATATCCTTCCTTTTTTTTTTCTTTCTGTGTATGAATATATATTTGTTGTTGTTGTTGTTCTGTTGCCAAGTCAAGTCTGACTCTTTGCAACCCCATGGACTGCAGCATGACAGACTTTGCTGTCCCTCACTATCTCTCGGAGTTTGCCCAAGATCATGCCCATTGAATTGGTGATGCCATTCAACCATCTCATTCTCTGTCACCCTCTTCTCCTTCTGCCTTCAGTCTTTCCCAGCATCACAGTCTTTTCCAATGAGTTGGCTGTTTGCATCAGGTGTCCAAATTATTGGAGCTTCAGCTTCACCCTTAGTCCTTCCAATGAGTATTCAGAATATATATTACAGTATATCATATAACATGGGCTTCCCAGGTGCCTCTGTGGTGAAGAGTCTGCCTGCAATGCAGGAGTCGCAGGAGACTTGGGTTCGATCCTTGGGTCAGGAAGATCCCTGTGGAGAAGGAAATGGCAACTCACTCCAGTATTCTTGCCTGGATAATCCCATGGTCAGAGGAACCTGGCAGGCTACAGTCCATGAGGTCGCAAAGAGTTGGACATGACTGAAGCAACTTAGGACACCGAATGCAAAACTTTGGATCACACTATACGGGCTTTTTCTTGTCTTACATTTTTCATATAACTTATATTTTCTAAAATATTTTTAAAGACTATTGCAATGTATGATTATATCAGAATTTATATGGCTAGTCCTTTAGGGGTGGATACTTGCTTGTTTTCAGCGCAAGATTCATTGTGATTAATTTTATCCCATCAGTCAGGACTTCAGGGTTCATGAATCATTAATAATGACTTTTCTATCCACAGAGTCCAGGAGTTCTGCTACGACCAAGCTGCCCACCTCCATGCAGGTGAGCTCATGTTCTTAGAAAAGGGTCATGGCAACAGCACCTAGAGTTAAGGGCTGTGGGCTGGCATCAGGCAGAAGCTGACCCCAATTGCACCTCTACCACTTACCAGAAACATGGCTATGAGCAACTAGCCTAAACGCAGGGGCTCTGTAACGCACACCTATGTAAAGCAGGGGATGCGCGGTTCTCTCGTCCCAGAGACATGGGCCGCGTAACATGTAGATCGGTTCTGGCCTGGCTCACTGAGTTCTGTGTGTCTGGCGGCTGCTGTTTCATCTCTGTACCTCTGGGCATCACCAGTAGCTTAGCTTGTGTATCTGTGCTCTTCCCCTATGGACTCCTGGTGTCATAATTTTCTGAAAAGAGGATTACCTCTGAAGCTGCTTAACAAATCCTTGTGTAATCCAATTTCCCATTCAACTACATCTCCTCTCCTGGTCCTTAATTCCCTCAATGCTTAGCAGGGAGGCTCAGCCACCCCTGGAGCTGGGCAGCATGGGAAAGGAGCCAGGGTCTTGCATCTTGGCCATATTGGATGTAGGACTGTCCAGGCACCAGCGAAAACAGTTCCAGGGTGCAGCCCACACTCACGGGGCTGGAGGGTGGAGGGAACTGATGCTGAGAACTTGCCACGCCTCACTAGGCTCTAAGCCTGGCATCTCCTTCCTCATTTGATCCTTATCATCACCAAGATTTGGGTGCCCGAGTGATCATGCCTGTGCTGATCAGTCATGTCTGACTCTTTGCGACCCCAAGGACTATAGCCCACCAGGCTCCTCTGTCCATGGGATTTTCCAGGCAAGAATACTGGAGTGGGTTGCCATGCCCTCCTCCAGGGGATCTTCCCAATCCAGGGATTTAACCCACATCTCTTATGTATCCTGCATTGGCAGGCGGGTTCTTTATCACTGGCACCACCTGGGAAGCCCATGGTCATGCCTACAAGGGAGGAAAAGTGATGCCCACGTGGATTAAGAAATTTTTCCTGCATTCCATAACTAGTAAGAGGTGGATCCAAGATTCTAGCTTGAGCTTTTCCAAGTAAGTGGTAATACCCACACCCTGGCACCAGACCCATAATACATCTGCTGTTTCAGGTTATTTATTGAGTATCTCCTCTGTGGAAGGGGTGTGCCCTTAAGCTCCTGGTGGAGAGCCATGTGGGAAGAAATCCCCATCCCGAGTAGGCAAGCTATAGATACAAGTAAGTTGAGAGTGACAGGTCAGACAAGGAGAGATCCATGAGCTAGAGAAAGGAATGCCATGGGTGGATCAGGCAGGAGGTGAAGGAGGAGATAGTGCCCAAGCTGGGTCCTGAACGATGGTGGAATCTGCAGAAAGAGGCTCACAGTGAGGAATGTTTCTTTTAGGCACATACTACTACTGAAGATAATGCAAGTATTTTCTCCAAAGATTCTTCAAAAACAACCAGTCTCCCAGGTAAGGACTGGATATTTTTGTGTTTCTATTGCTTATGGGGCACAGAAGAACTTGTCTCTGCAGAAAGTCCTTTCTTTTTGGAAGTGTTGGCAGAGGGCTGGTCTGCTTAATGAAAAGGATCGATGGCAGAAATAGTCTTTGATTACTTTATACTTCCAAGTTTGATGTCACTAAGATATAGTAAAGGGACCATAAGAAGAGTAAGATCAGTAAACTATGTCAATTTTGGCCCAGAATACACTTTGAGGAATGAAATAAATCTTTGGGAAGCCCTTCATTCCAATGCTTCTGATTCCCTATACCTGTAAGACTAGGGAAACTTAGTAACATTTGCATCAAGAAAGATCCCAACCAGGGCTTCCCTGGTGGCTCAGTGGTAAAGAGTCCCCCTGCCAATGCATGATCCACTGGGGAGACACGAGTTTGATCCCTGATCCTAGAGGAACCCACGTGCCGCAGAGCAACTGAACCTGTACACCACAACTATTGAGTCTGTGCTCGAGTGTCTGGGAGCTGCAACTCCTGAAGCCCAAGTGCCCTAGAGCCCGCGCTCCACAGCCAGAGAAGCTGCTGCCACGAGAAGCCGGCGCACCGCACTAGAGAGTAGCCCCCACTTGCCACACTGGAGAAAAGCTCACACAGCAACCAAGACCTAGCACAGCCAAAAAAAAAAAGAAAAGGAAAAGATCCCAGGTCCTGTGTTTGCTTTACTATTAATATATGGATGGGACTCATGGAGTCCAGGCTCTGGAGGCTCAGTAGCTGAACACATTCACCTGATAGCTCTTGGGCTTTCTGAGGGCGTCCTTGGCCTCCATACCTTTAACTGGGCAGATTCCTGCTGCACCTGGCTGCCCATGCCCTGTCATTCTGTTGCAAAGCCCTACCTAGTGTGGTGCACTTAGGGGGACCTGCCAGACACCTGGGGCTAAGCTCTGCTTGCACAGCTGGGAGCTTGGAGTCGAACCCATCCCTGCTCTCCCGGAGTCTACCATCCAGCAGGCAGGCTCTGGCAAAGAGTAAAGCGGTAACCAGCGGAGAGTGGAATGTGGCCAAAAGGGAGCCAGAGGGAAAGCAAAGTGGGATGTAGAGTCCTGAGGGAATCACAGAACGTTCACAGAGGAGGCGCCATCTGAATGACCTTTGAATGATGTGGGTGGGACAGCAGGAGGCTGGGGCAGCAAGCAGTTCAGGGCATACTGTGGAGGAAGAACCCTTGAGTCTTCTCTACCGATGCTCACCGATGATCTGTCTAATCCAGCCCTGTGTCTTTCAAGACCGTCTGTGGGCTGATGACTCCCAGATGTATAGCCCTGTCTCTGACCTTCCCACGAAGATTCAGCCAGACTGGTGTATCCAACTACCTAGGTGACGCGTCCACCTGATACCTACTAAAACTCTGACTTAATGTGTCTAAAAGAGAATGCTTGATGCCTCCCCGCCTCTTCAACCCAAATCTGTTCTCATCCTTCTTCCTCATTTCAGTAAAGACAACACATCCTCTGGGTTGCTGGGGCTGGGAGGAAAGACAGGCTTCCTCTTCTAAGCCTCATCCCATGTCCAGTCCTTCAGCAGGTCCTGTCAGTTGTATCCTGAAGTTTGTCCAGGAGCTGACCACTTCTCACCCCCTCCACTGCCAACACCTGGCCCAGCCATTGCTATCTTTTCTCCAGTAGGACTTTAGGGTCTGCCTGCTGGTCTCTTGGCTTTTAGTCTTTTGTTTTAATATTTATTTTTATTTATTTATTTATTTATCTGGCTATGCTAGGTCTTAGCTGTGGCACCTGGGTTCTTTTTAGTTGTGGCATGTGGAATTTAGTTCCCTGACCAGAGCTTGAACTCGGACTCCCTGTACTGGGAGCGTGGAGTCAGCCACTAACCCACTGGGTGTCCATCCTGGCTTTTGTCTTAAGCCCCAACTGACTCTTTTCCAGCCAAAAGCCAGAATGACTCTTAAAACACAAATTTAAGCTCTTCTTGGCTCAATGTCATCTTGTCTCCCAGAGTAAAAGCCGAGGACCTAACAAAGGCCCTAGTCTCCATGAAGTCAGGCCCTGATCTTTAGGTCTCACCTCCTCCTTTCTCTCTCTCATCCGCTCTGCCTTCCTCATGTCCACACTTGCTCACCTCATGGCCTTGGCACCCACTGCTTGCTCTGCCTGGATGCTCTTCTCCCGACCTCCCCTGGGACAGCCCTTTCATACATCCAGGCCTCTGCTCAAATGCCCCCCGCCTGGGGAGGCCCTTCCCGATCACCCAATTTGACAGAGCCCGCTACTGGCACGCTCTGCTTCCTATGCTTTGTTTCCCATCATTGCCTTTGTCAGTGCTGACATCTTATTAGGTAGGTATTTGTTTATCTGTCTCCCTTGATTAGAATGTAAGATCCAGGAAGCCAGGAGTCTTTCTGTCATCCAATTACCTGTATCCCTGAGGCTTAGCACAAAGCCTGGCACATGACAGACACTCAATAAATATTTGTTGAATGAAGGAAGGAACAAATACAAAAGATGATGAAGTATTAGTGAAAGAGTAAGCCAAGCATACACGAAATGGCTGTCTCTGCCAAGAGACCTAGGACACTCTGGGAGATGCCTGTCCTGGTCAGTGCCTACTACAGTTTGAGCTCAAGGCAAAGCCTGCATCTACTAGACACCCGGAGTGATGTCTGGCATCACATCTTTATCAGCAGTGGGTACCACTTAGGGTGGAGGAGCATGACTCCCAAGTCCATGAGACTGCAAGTATCTGCATTTTCAGTGGAAGGGAATGCTGATTTTGTTCAGATTACTCTCTGTCTAGTCCTGGCGCTGTCTCTGGCAGCCATGGGAAGGAGCTTTCTCTGGAAGGACATGGTTGTTTGTGAAGCTAGTTTGTTTTGCATTCATTCAATGAAATATTTTGGTGGGCCTGCTTTGTGCAAGGCACCACGTGAGGAGTTGGAATGTTAAAAGTGAAAAAGACACACATGGTCCCTGCTTTCAGGGAGTTTAGGCTGGAGGTGGAGCTGGGGGAGTGTAAGGTGGGCCAGCGTGGAGCAGGATCACTTCTCAAAGCGAGTGCCATCATCTCATGTGCGATTCGAAGGCCAAGTAGGGAGACTGGCCAGCAAAGGGAAGGGGATACAGCACGGGTGGACGCGCGTTCTGGGGGAGAAGAGAACGCTTGCACAGGAGAGGGAACATGCGTGAGAAAGATGGACTGAAATTCAGGTGGCTGGGGCTTGCGTACCAACTGGGGAGACAGGTGAGAAGTGATGATCCAGTGGGGACAGCTGCACCCAAACACTTGATTTAAAGCATCTGAGCCTCCAGGAGCTGCTTCAATGAGGTCCCCTAAGGCTCTGCCTCTTGCATGCCCCTGTGCCTTGTGGGGCCGGCTGAGTGCCACTAGAAAAGCCGCTCTGAAAGTGAGTGGGAGTCTGTGGCTGGCTCAGAAGCTCTGAGCTGGAGGTGTGTCTCTTGCTACGTGGTGGCATCCTGGGGTCTGTCAGACTGTGCTGGGGGAGACCTTCTAGAGTTGGCTTTGGCCAGAACACTGGCAAGTTTGTCAGGCAGAGCTGTTTCCTCCTCCAGGGGTGAGGTTCTTTTGAGGTTTTGACAGCACCTGCTGAGTGGTTTGTTTTTTTTTTCCCCTTCTTTCCTCTGCTCCTCTTCCTCCTCTTCTTTCTCTCCCTCTTACTTTTTTTTTTTTTTTTCCTAGTGCAAGATTCTACTTTGGTACCGCTGCCCACGTTCCTGGTGGCTGGAGGAAGCCTGGCCTTCGGGACCCTCCTCTGCATTGGCATCATCCTGAGGTAAGAAGGGCCCTGGGGTGGCCCTGCAGCGTCATCAGGTTTCAAATCTAGCTTTACCAGCACTAGGATGGTGGCCATGGGTTGATTCCAGATATATTTTAGAGGTAGAATGGACAAGATCTGATGACAGCTTACATGGGAAGGATGAAGGAGAGGAAGGAATCAAGTCTGACTCTCAAGTTTCTGGCTTCAGCAGGACAACCAAGTAGAAAAACAATGCTTACATGTTGGTACCACTGGGGAAACCCCAAGTGGGCAAGTTTGGGAGGCCATTCAGATCACTGCCACCAGGCAGCTGGTAGTTGGGGCCATGGGAGAAGATGGGGCCAAGAATGTCATCTGTGGAATACAACCGGAATATTGTGAAGAGGAGGAGCTGAGAAAGGGACTGAGAAGGAGTGGCCTGAGAGGGAGAAGAAGAGGCAGGAAAGCCTGGTTGTGAAAGTGTGTGTTAGACAGTGAAGAAACACCTTAGGCTCTGGGATTGGAATATGAACATACCCTTCCTCTCCTAAGAGCCACAGACTAAAATGAGTAAAGTACCACTTGAGAAGCACCACAACAGAAGTGCATGGTAACTCCCAAGTGCCTGGCTAGACTACCTCCTCGGGGATATTCTATATTTGAAAATAAGCAGACCTAGTGGGTCACCTTTAAATGTCCTATCCTAGTGCCCTTCTTCAGTCATGGTGAGGGCTTTGTTGGTGCTCTGATCACTGTAGTGCCATGCGAAATCATCCCAGTCTCTTTCCACGCAGTCATTGGTGTTGCCATTCATTCCCAAGCTTGCAGAGAAGTCACCTAACAGTGCTCCCAATGAATGGGCAACAAAGAAAACTTCCAGTGTTCACGATTTTACTGCAGGAACTAGCAATTTTGCATATGCTGACGCCCTAAAGGAGATGAGGCTGGGATCTGGCTTTGGATGGTGGTTAATTCCAATGATAATATAAGGAGAGGAGAAATTCCATCCTACTTTTTTCTATTTTTCCTGTCTTTTTCCTTGTTTCTAACTTGCAAGGATTCTACCCGGTGATTGTGAGAGGTGGTCTTTGAGGTGTTTGGGAAGGAGGGGTAAGACTTTGGCAGACAGCTTTCCACGTGCTAGCTCATTGGAGTCTCACAGTGACCCCGGAATAGCTCAGCCTCCAAAGTGGTCTGGGTTGGAAGATGAGGAAGATAACAACTGAAACTGTGTTCGAGGTTGTTTTTGCTTTGATTTTTCAATGACATAGCAAGTAAGCTGTTCCAAGGGTGTGCAGAAGATAAGGTTCTTAAAGAGCAACTCCCTAGAGGAGCCGAGAACTCACTGTCTTTTATACCTTTGGGCCAGAGAGGGGCCCTGCCAGCTTTCAGAGGTCTTCCTACTCCCTTCTAAAGGATTCTTTGCCTCACCTCAGACACCTCTTCTTTCTGTATCTATATCACCTGGGTTTCAGATGGACTTTCTTATGATCCACCAGAGACCCTATAGAGCAGTGGTCCTCCACCTTTTTGGCACCAGGGACCAGTTTTGTGGAAGACAGTCATGGACCAGAGGATGGGGGGTGGTTTCAAGATGACTCAAGTGCATTACATTTATGTGCACTCTATTTCTATTACTATTACATCAACTGGACCTCAGATCATCAGGCATTAGATCACAGAGGTTGGAGACCCCTGTTCTAAGGGATTCCTTGCCTTACCTCAGACACGTACTTCTGTGTTCTCTTTTTATTTCTATATCATTAGGGCTTCAAAAGGTCTTTCTCATAACTCACTGCAGGTCCTGTAGAGTAAATGTCATCATTATGATTTCCACTTGACAGATGAGGAAATTAAAGCTGAAAGAAAGTAGAGTGATTGCAGCTAATAAGGGTGAGGCTAAGGTTCAAACCCACAGCTTATGCTTCTTGGATAGGGCCTTAGGGGTCATTTAGTCAAACTCTTGAACAACAGCAATGAGAGGTAAGCTGACTTGCCCAGGAACACATACTTCGTTAATAGCAGAGACAGGACAAGGACTGGTGTCCCGAGAGTGCCTGCCCACTGTGCCAGCCTGAGGTCAGCTAAGAGGTGGGCCCAGTCCTATAAGTCCACTGTTGGCCGGTGGCCCCCCAACAAGCGGTGCTATCTTGCTGTGCTGTTAACTACTAGGAGAGGAGTGTTAGGCTGGGAATCGGCCACAGTGCTCATCACAGACCTAATTTGCTAATGTGCTCATGGTGCTTGTACACTGGCTGGTTGCTACACAACCAGAGTCCCTGAAGGCACAGTGCTCTGTGCAGAGAACATAGCAGTTATTTATTTCCTAGCCTGATGAGTTTCCATCCTCCCATATAAGGCTAATTTATTTGGAAAGAGGCCAGTTAATTTCAAACAATGAAAAATCACACTATTTCCAAAAGTCTCCCATGTCAAGAGAAGAGTATCAGTAGGGGTTTCCTTGGTGGCTCAGTGGTAAAGAATCCCCCTGCCAATGCAGGAGATACGGGTTCGATCCCTGGTCCAGGAAGATCCTACATGCCACAGAGCAACTAAGCCTGTGTACCACGACTGTTGAGCCCGTGCTCTAGAGCCCGGGAACCGCAACTATTGAGCCCAGGTGCCACAACTACTGAGGCCTACGAACCCTAGATCTGTGCTCTGCAACAAGAGAAGCACGCAGTAAGAAGCCTGTGTACTGCAATGAAGAGTAGCCCCTGCTCCCTGCAACTAGAGAAAAGGCCACGCGCAGCAACGAAGACCCAGTGCGGCTGAAGAAAAAATGAGTATCAAGAGATGCTGTGGGAGCCTGGGGTGCCAAAATGGTTGGGCCACCATGACCATTGAGGTGACCAGATTATTACAGTGGATAGAATGAGAGGCAGATGGAGGCAGTAAAGCCCACCAACCGGTCACCATCTTTTTATTTTTAGTACATTTATTTTGTGTCTCAAGCAAAGCACAGTATTTTTCTAAGTATTTTTCCATCAATATCAGTGACAATATTTAAAAATTTAAGTGTGCTGTTGAAAAAGGTATACTATCTTTTTAGATGGGTGTTGTAACTTCAAAGGGCCATTCTCCCCACTGTACTTCCTGTGCCCCAGTGTGTCCCCATTTATATCTATTTTATGCCATCAGGCACTGGGAAAATAGGATTTTCAGAGCAGAGAGTTACTTTTCTGCACATTTATTTAGAATGGCTAACACTATTAGTTGAGGACTTCCTATGCATATGCTTATGATTTAAATCATTTTGTATTGAATGTATTGTCTCATTTCAGTATTTTAAAATCACACTCTCCCATCTTCATGGTTAATTATAAGTGTTTTTTAAGTTTTTTTAAAAATTTCTTTTAGTTGCAGAACCTTTTCTTAAAATATTGCACGTGTACGTGTTCAGTTGCTTCAGTCGTGTTCGACTCTTTGTGACGCCATGGACTGTAGCCCACCAGGTTCCTCTGTCCATGAAATCTTCCAGGCAAGAATACTGGAGTGGGTTGCCATGCCCTCCTCCAGGGGATCTTCCCAATCCAGGGATCAAACCCAGATCTCTTATGTGTCCTGCATTGGCAGGCGGGTCTTTACCCACTGAGTCACCTGGGAAGCCCCAAACTAAATGTTATGAAGTCCAAATAGGTAAAATAGGTAAAAGGTGGAGGTGAGGTGCAGGTGAAGTCTGGCAGCTCATCTTTTGGTTTCTTCTACCTGCCCTGCACCCTCTCCAGCCTCCAGGCTGTGCTCAGAGCCCTGCCGAGGGCAGGACAGTGCCAGGTTTGGACGGACCACAGGCCTAGAGGTTTCAAAGTCCCCTTTGAGCTTAGTGATTTGCTGAAAAAGTCTCATTCACTCCCCAAAATATTTCAAAAGAAGAAAAGCTCACCTTTCTCAGTTACCCATCCAGTTGTTTTGAAAAAATCTGAGGACAGAGACTGCTTTCCATATGGGTTAAGTAACATCAATAGAAACTTAAAAAAAACTTGTGACACATGATTATTTCCTAAATATCGGGAGTTTGCTGAATACTGACAAATAGCAAAGAAGGACTGATGCTGAAGCTGAAGATCCAGTACTTTGGCCACCTGATGCAAAGAGCTGACTCATTCAAAAAGACCCTGATGCTGGGAAAGATTGAGGGCAGGAGAAGAGAGTGACAGAGGATGAGATGGTTGGATGGCATCCCTGATTCAATGGACATGAACTAGAGCAAATTCCAGGAGATGGTGAGGGACAGGGAAGCCTGGTGCACTGCAGTCCATGGGGTTGCGAAGAGTCGGACACGACCTGGGGGCTGAACAACAACAAAGCAAGAAGGGAGAAAAATCACGCCTTTAGCGTGACAGCTACTGTTAATTTTTAAAATGTAAAAGTCTGACAAACATACAGGAAAGTGCAGATGTCATAAGTGTACAGTGCCATGCATTTCCACAAAGACACCCATGCAGCTGACACCCAGATCAAAAGCACTTTATATTTGGCTGAATTTTCTCCAAGTCTTTTTCCTTTGCATAGTTTCTTGTTTGTTTGTTTTGGCTGTGTGGCATGATGGTTCCCCAATCAGGGGTTGAACCTGTACCCCCTGCATAAGAAGCAGGGAGTCTTAACCACTGGACCACCAGGGTTTGTTTTTCAGAGCCATGATTATTCTATATCCATAACTCTGAATCCTGCCTTTTAAATGTAGCATTAGTTATATAACATAAGCACTTCTTATTATTAAAAGTTTTGGTAAACCTCACTTTCATCACTTTCTTGTATATACTCAAGATCACTTAACCAACCTTCTATTATTGGGCATTTGGACTGTTGTTTTGCTTTTATAAACAAGACTGTGTTGAACATCTTTGTGCATAAAATTTTTTCCATAGCTGTGTGCTTTCCTGAGGGTATATTCCCAGAAGTGGGATTCTTGGATCAGAGGGTCTGAATATTTTGAAATCCAGAGTGTAATGACTCTGTCTTCAGTTCTGTCATGACAGAGGAGGATTCCAGCCAAGAACCCAGCATAGCTCCAGTAAGCGCCCCTGCTGTGTTCTCCTCCTGGGCAGTGCCTGAATGGCGAAGCCTAAGCCACATTCTGCAGATTGTTTATTCCATTTGGATAACAGGCTAAGAGCCAATGGCATATTTGGAGCCAACTATCAATTATTTATCATAACAAGGACAGGAATAGCCTGTCGATATAAAAAGAAACCTAAGGAAAATCCTCAAACCTTGTTTTTGATGTTGGTTTCCCCCTCTCCCCTCCCAGCCCTTCCTGAAGTAGCTGACGTCTGGTCAAATTGAGAGAGACCACCTTGCTCCCACCTTGGGGTCAGTGGGCAGTAAGTTAGCCCGTGACAAAGTGGGAAGTGGGGGGAAGATGGGCTGCCCTGCTCGCCTGAGGGCCCCTCAGGGAGGAGACCTGACTGTACGTTTGAAGACTGCTATCACCATCTCATCTTCCTTTGGGCTGTCAAGTGACTCTTCTCAGTCACTGAGCCCTGGCTTTGGGCCCAGAGCGGAGCAGGGTGAGCGGAGCTGTGATCAGAGAGATGTCTGTCTCCTTCCTGTTTAACACCGACTTTCCTGTCAAATGAGTCACTCATGCCCAAGTGGTGCCCATGGCCGAGTCTGTGTGAATGTGCCAGTGTGGTGGGAGGGGACCCAGAGGTGTAGGGAAAACTGGGGACTACGAGCATATGGGAAGCCAGAAGCGAAGGAGGGCTGTTGAGAGAGCAGGACAGTCCTTTTCCTTCCCTACTGAAAGAATACTGTCTCTCCTTTTTTTTAAGTAGGTGGATTTGGGACTGAGAAGGTGTCCCGCTGGGCTGCCTTTATGGTTGTTAGTCTTCCAGTCATGTCCATGTCTAACTCTTTGCGACCCCATGGGCTGTAGTCTTCCAGGCTCCTCTGTCCATGGGATTCTCCAGGCAATAATACTGGTGTGGGTTGCCATTCCCTTCTTCAGGGGAGTCTTACCTACCCAGGAATCGAATCCAGGTCTCCTGCATTGTAGATGGATTCTTTACCATCTGAGTGGGGCAGAACAAAGAACAAATTAGGTTCTCAGGTGCTATAAAGAGGCACTCAGAACCTCAGTTCCCCCATTGGTAAATTGGATCCACCATGCATACCTATTCCCTTGGGGTGTTTTTGATAGCTCTTCAGAGGATTATGTAGTTCCTGGTGACAAGAAGCAGCCAATGAATAAATAGTTATCAGTCCTTGGAGCTGAGACCCAGGAGTGCCAGCCCACCAGGGCAGCCAGCTGTTGGTGTTTTTCTCTTGGGTTTATCACAGCAGGAACTCAACATTTTCGTGGTTTGTCTTTGTGTGTGTGTGTGAAGGTTCAAGAAGACGGGGAAACTGCAGGCTCTGAAAGAAGGCAAGACGAGTGCACACCCGCCTTATTCTTTGGGCCAGCTGGTCCCTGAGAGGCCCAAGCCCACCCCAGCGCTGGTCCCTCTCATCTCCCCACCGGTGTCCCCCAGCAGCCTTGAATCTGACAACACATCGAGGAACAGCCGGCCGGATGCAAAGGGCCCTGGGAGCCCTTATGACGTCAGTAACAGAGACTACTTCTTCCCCAGATAATGGGTAGGCCTAGCAGCCTGGGGTGTCAGGCCCCTAGACCGTGTGGACGCTGAAACAGACGGCTTAGCACAAATCGCTCATCACTGCCATGCCAGCTTATCTCAGGTACTTGGGGCTTCTGGCTTCACCTTTTCAGAAGCGCCTCACAGAAAATTCTACGCTGGGTGAAAAAAAAGATTTGCTGTGTTGGTTGAGTTTTGAATCACCCTGACCCCAATGCGCTGATTACGTGGTGAGAGTGAACTCAGGCCCCCATGAAGAGACGGGTGTCAAGACTCTCCTGGCCACTCAGGTGGGCAGAGCTGGGTGATTGGGGAGGCTTGGGACTGCCGCCCAGGCTTGGTGTGGACGAGCCGCTGGCCACCCGCGCACCCCCGCCCACCACCAGGAGCTGCAACCTCAGACGGGTGGGATGGATTTCCAGCCAAAGACTCCCCGAGTCGCTTATGTCTTGACCCACCGCATGGTTTTCTCTTCTAGCTCAAACTCCTGAAACCCAAGTGCCTTCGAAATTCTGTTTTTTCTAGGCCTGAGTATGGGGGGAAGCTCTCTTCTGCTTTACTTTCCCCCGCAGCTGAGGTGGGGGCAGATAGTATCTCAGGGCCTGATGGTTTGAAATGGAATTATAATTAGTTCCTCATCAGCATTTTCTGAATGTGAATGGTCGTCCTAGGCACTTGCTGAATCCAGAAACGAGTGCACTGGCTCGATCTCCCTTTTTGGATCCCAGGACTTCAGGAGAGAAGCCGAGAGGAAGGAGGGGAGTGAGGCAGGGTCTCCAAGCTTATCTGTAGTAGCATTGCTGAGGGGGACAGAGGCCTCTGCACACCGTCCCCCCCACTTCCCTGGCTCCCCAGAAGGAGAACTGGCATCAGGGAGGCTTCTGCCAGTTGTGAAATCAACATTGCCTTGCTCCAGCTTTGTTTATTTTGTTTTCAACTGAGCCTGCGTAACCAGGGAAGATAATATTTATGCAAAAAGACAAAAGAACCTGGCAAGAATGGGTTTTAATTTGGTTTTTAAACAACTGCTGACTCTTTTATCTTCAGAAGGTAGAGCATCCAGTATTAGTCGAGAGTCAGCAGATAAATGACAGGGGAAAGGCACAATGACTTTGTTTAGCGCAAAACTCAATCAAGTGACAAAGGAGGAGAAAAGGTTTTCCCCTATAAGAGAAGAGATTCTGTTTTCATTCTAAATTTTGTTTTTGCCTTAAAAAGTGAAAAAAAAAAAAGGAGAAAAAAACAACTCTGCCCCTTTTCTAATTTAGCGGAAAAGGCAGCTTGTTACTACTCCCCCAGGCGGTCGAGAAGGAAATGGTGTCCAGCTCCCAGGTCACAGTGCTGGGAAGCCAGCCTCCCACCATTACTCAGCAGGTCAGCTGAAAATCCCCACCACTGAAAGCCACGAATCCTCCGGTATCAGACAAGGTTCATTAAAAAAAAAAAAAAAAAACCCAACCTAACCTTGATGCCTTCCTCTTTGAGTTAGTTCCCTGAATGTGATTCAGTTCAGCTAGTATTGAAGCACCGACTGAATGTCTAGCCGTGACACTGCACCAACCGCTGCAGTGCGCTTTTCTGTCTAGGCTTTGAAAAATTCAGTGAAGTTAGTGGTTACCCAGACAAGCGCCCTCAAGTATCCTGGGAAGTCCCAGAAAGAAGCTGTGATTAAAATCAGTTGTGTAACCCACCACTAAAAATTTACCAGACCACAACACTTTTCCAGCAGTCTCCCATTTTAGAAGACCAGCCACCAGCACCCGACAGGTGGAAAAAGGACAGAAATGATCATGTTTTGTTTACTGTTTGCCAGGCTCAAACTGTTATGACATTGGGCTACATGGTGACTTTCATTGCTGGCTTTGGCTGTAAATTTCAGACTCTGTTGCTGCCTTTGGCAACTAATCTGAAGTTGACAAAAGTGAGGCAGGTGGTTTTGTTTTGTTTTTCTCTCAAGTTTTCTTGACCGAGACCAGCAAAAATGCTGTTAAAGGGAAATATAGAAAATGAGAATCTGCATGAGATAGGATGATTCTCTGCCCACAGTTAACTCTTGACAAAGTTTTACCCACGTGTAATATTAGCAGAGCCAGGCAGCGGTGCTGGTGGAAGATGTGAAATCCAGATAGCTCATGACTGCTGAGAGCTAGGCAGCTTTGATCTCCAAATTGTTATTGCTTTCATTATTATTTGAACGGAACTGCCTTTTTTTTTTTTAATGTAAGAGGTTTTTTTTCTTTCCCTTTATTTTTTTATAAGCTAGTATAGATGAAGGAAAAATGTTTGTCTTCTCTTGCTTGGTGTACATAGGTACACCCTAAGCTCTCTTTGTCTTTGAATCTATGGTCAGTGAATGTGTGTTTCAGTTCACAGGTCATTCTTACCTGTGTTTCTGCAGCACACGTGTGATGCTATTCACCTAATACCTGTAGCAATCTGCTACACAGCCAGAAGGAAATGTTAGTCCAGCGACAATTTTTTATTACAGATGGACAGCTTATCCTGCTGGGTGGGAAACATGGAAAATATGCTAGTTCAGGGTTTCAGTTAAAGTGGTCATTAATTCTTGTAGCATTAATGAAAAAAAAAAATTTTGTTTGTAAGTGTCGAGGAAGTAGCATTGACTGTTTCTGCAAAGCCTTCGGTAACTCTGAAAGCTCTTTGCCCTGATGGAGCGTTGCCCTTGGCAGTTTGTTTGCCAGGCTCTGGGCTCACCCCAGTCTCTGTCATTTGTCTGCTGTGCCCGAGGGAAGGAAACACTATCACAAGGGGTGGAATCTGCTCCTGGAACGGATTGGGAGCCTACCTGGTGGGGAGCAGAGCTTGGCTCAGCAGAGCTCAGTGGGGGCAGACTGGGGGTGGTCATGGTTTGTGGATTTTCTGTAGAATGTTCAGGAATGTCTTGCCTGGCTGCTTTGGTCCTGGGCTATATCGCTTCATCAAAGACACTTAAGATTGCCCCAGCTGGGGAGGAGTCTGACACCCAGCTCCAGATTGAGTTGGTAAGAAATTTATCTTAATTTGGAGAAGCAGTGGCAACTGGTGGTCCCTGGGAGCATGAGCCTGGATCCCAGCCTCCCATGCAGCAGTTGGCAGCGGGGCTTTTGCCAAGCTGGCTCCACTTCTGTGCCAGACACTCCCGAGCATCCCCTAAAGGTCCTTCTAGCATCACGTCCTCCGTGTAGCCTGGCTCTAGCGCTAGCAAGTTTCTATGGCAACCTTAATGATGATTAAGGAACATTGTCAGATGTATGAACATATGCTCAAATGCAGATCTACTTCAGAAGCAAAGGACTGGAACAGCATGTAGCAAGGCTGTTAATTAATAGAGAAACTGTATTTGGATGGAGAGCACACATCTGTTAAATAGAATACCTCAACTTTATTTTTTTCTGGAGAGAAATAATAGTTTTAAGTTTTGTTTTTTTTTTTTACCTAATTATCTGAAATAAAATACCAAAGGCTGGTGATGTCTGTATATGGGGCAAAGGGTCAGTATAATTTTTTTCAGTGTTTTTTCTTTTTACCAGCTATTTTGCATTTAAAATGAAAATTGTAAATGTTTGAAATAAATAAGTTCTAAAAAATATGCCTGGGAGATAATGATGCTTTGACGCCTGGGTCCTTTCAAGGAAAGACTTGCATGGTTACTCTGGGAAAGGGGTGAGAAAACTTGGATTTAAAGTCAAGGAGAACCATTTGGGGGTGAGCTTTTCCTTAATGCAGGATTAAATTACCTCTGGGAAAAAATCAGGTGAGTTTAAGAAATAAGTTGCAATTTCTCAAAGACTTTCATTTTGAAAGTTATTTCCCCAAATGAACCCTGGGGTTTCTGGAAAGGGCGTAGGTGCTTCGGCCTTTTTTACATCATTATCAGGTGATGGACCTGGGGGGAAGGAAAAGGGAGGGCCATTATTCATCAGAAGAGTGTTTATTGAACAGGGGTTGTTAACGGAATCACAAGTCAACCCTGAACCTCTCCATCATCAGGCTGCATCTGTCCCCTGTTGGAAAGGATCCTCCATAGGAAACCTTGGGACACTGCCATCCCACATCTTCCAAACAGAGGAAAGCCTTCACATGGATGCTCTGTGGATAAGAGTTGCTGTGTAAACAGCTCAGGGCTGGGGAGGAGGAAACTGCATGGAAACCTGGAAATTGTGTAACTCAGACTGAAAGCTGAAGTGCCAGGCCCCGCTGCGCAGCGTTGTCCCCCCCTCCCCCCGCCCCCGCCTCCAGGGAATCCGAAGAAAGCCACACGACCGACCACACCTATGGGGCTCCTTGAGGATGCCACAGTTTCTTGCGAGGTTGCTCCCTGTCTTGCAGAAAGTGACACAGGAAACAGATGTCCCATAGTGGCTTGGCTGTTTGGGCCCCATAGAGGGGTGTGGGAGTGAGTGTAAGGAGCAGGAAATGGAAGAGGGTGGCTCCCCCACCCTTCACCGCATCACTGTTAGGATGGTAAGGCTACGATGCTCTTTCTGGAAGAGAGGAATGAGAGAGCAGATGGGGGATCCTGTAGAGGATGGCAAGGAACATTCAGTTACTGGAACGACCACTAAGGAAAGCGCGTTCCTTATTTTTTGATGCAGACGGACACCAAACCTTCCCCCATGTCTGTGAGAAGCACAGGCCAGAGGCAGGAAACGTGGTGCCTTCCTGCATAGCAGAAGTGTGCTGTTGAAAGGCCTTAAACTGGTCCGAGCAGTGTCCAAGGGCTGGGCTGGGCCTGGCAGCCTCTCAGGCAGAGTGGTGGCCAGGTGGACTGGCTGGGTGAGCTGACTGAGTGGCCGTCATGTAAGCAGTCCTGAGCAGGGCAGCCAGCGCTACACGATCCTTCAAATACTGACCACCCCCTGGTCTCTGCAAAACTTCGGATCTTCTTGCTGATGTGTGTTACTTAAAACAACCTTAGAACAACCTGAGCCACATCTTATTTCACACCAGCAATTTTCAGTGACTATCCAAAACATGAATACAATGAGATTTTTCAGTAAGATCCAAAACACTTGCACTATGGGAATATGCAATATTCAATTAGGCTGTTTCTTTTTCTCAGGAAACTTCAAAATGCTTAGTAAGGCTATCGAATGTCCACAAAGAAAATAGCTTATCGTGTGATGAGAAGCTGCATTTTATGTTTTTTTGAAAAATTTGCTTTTTTGAAGTATAGTTGATTTATAACGATGTATTAATTTTTACTGTACAGCAAAGTGGTTCAGTTATATATATACACATTCTTTTTCATTTTCTTTCCCATTACGGTTTATGACAAAATATTGAATATAGTTCCCTGTGCTGTACAGTAGGACCTTGTTGTTTATCCATTCTATATATATATTAATAATAGTTTGCTTCTGGGAATTCCCTGATGGTCCCGTGGTTAGGACTCTGATTCCACTGTGGAAGACCCAGGTTGAGGAACTAAGATGCTTATTCCAACTTCCCCCACAACCTTCCCCTTTGGCAACCACAAGTCCATTTTAATATTTCATTATGATTTTTTTAAAGAATGAAATTTATCGGGAGGACAGTTGAATTCTATTTTGTTTTTTATTTAATTAATTTTGGGGGCCATGCTGTGCGGCATGTAAGATCTTAGGGCCCCGACAGGGATTGAACCCTACGTTGGCAGCAGCACACAGTCTTAACCACAGGGGTAACAGGGGAGTCCCCTATTTTGGTTTTTAAATGCATGTGCTGAACAATGAGGGTTCTGAAATGATGAAATGCCCCACTCAGTGTAACTGGGACATTCTAGGGTCTGTCCCCAGTGACTGATGCGGGGGGGGGACAGGTAGAGGAGGACTGCGTCAGCAGCACCTGCCCGCGTGGACAGCGTGTTCACTGCCCTGCAGAGCACGTGTCCACAAGGTGTACCCTGGAGTCACCACAACCAGCAGGGATTCCAGATCAGCCTGAGGAAGGCGGTGATGGACCCCGAGGGTGACGGTGGGCCCTGATTGTTTCTATGAGGAGGCGGGTGCCCTGGGGCCTCAGATTTCAGTCGATCATGTCTGTGGATGGGTCCAGGAATTACAGGAAGCACAGGCTTCAACCCCGGACCCTCCAGATCACAAAAGTGTGTATCTGTTTACATGAGTGTAAGGTGCTCAGTTTCTCCGGCCATGCCACCAGCTCCGAGGGTCTCTGTGAGGGAGACTGCAGCGTGGGAGGTGAGGTTCTATGGCCTCACGTTACTGGGGGCCTAAGCAGGCAACAAAACCTGTGGACAGCAAAGAGCTACACCACTGGCCCTGCTGGTTATCCAGAAGGTCACCATCCCTTTTTGGTAGAGATGGCATATTAAGATTAGCTAATAATGACAGCTGTTTATGGACCCTCCCCATGTGCTTCACAAATAGGATATTCTTTCTTATCCTAATGAGAGGTTAATGTTTTCACCTGTTTACAGATGCAACTACAGAGGCTCATATCAGTGAACATAGTGGTCTAAGACCCCTGAGCTGGGTAAGAGGCTGAACTAGACCCTAAACCTGGGTCTGCTTGACCCCAAGCCAGTGCTTTTTCCCAAGCTGTGTGGCCCCTTAGCCCCTGGTGACAACCAGGATGGGCCTACATTTCCACCCCCTTTCCCAGGCTAGGTGCTCTGCCCCTGTGCTGGGTGGGGGCCTGGCCCACTCACCCTCATGGGGAGATGGACCTGGAGTCTTCATTTGGTTTATCACATGTATCAGTGCGGAAGCCGAGACCCTGGGAGTCTGAGCTATGAAGGTGTGTCCTGAGGCCACCAGACCTCAGCGATGCTCGCAAAATAGGATCCACAGAGAAGGTGGGCCGAAGAGGCGGGGGCAGCAAATAGCTCCTTACGCTTAGCGATCATCAGAAACCAAACCACTTCCCCTCCTTCTGTATCAGTCCCGTATCTATTCCTCTGAACTCTGAGTGATTGATCTGGTGTTCTGTTGCTTCCTTGGTGTATATTTTAATGTTGTTTGTTGTTTAGTCGCTAAGTCATGACTAACTCTTTAAGATCCCCTGGACTCTAGCCCACCAGGCTCCTCTGTCCATGGGATTTCCCAGGCAAGAATACTGGAGTGGGTTGCCATTTGCTTCTCCAGGGATCTTCCGGATCCAGGGATCAAACCCTCTTCTCTTGCATCTCCTGCATTGGCTGGCAGATTCTTTACTACTGTGCCACCAATACTTGAATGAACTTCCTTGAAACCCTCAAACTGTGCTTTGTTTACGGCATAGGAACTTTACCATGTCCTCTGAGAAAGGGTGAGCGATCACCACACTGGAGGAGGTGGTTCCCTCTGGGCTGAGTCTTCAGGGGATGCTTACTCCATCACCATGCAAGGATGCGAGAGGAGCCAATCCCTTCCCAAAGATGCTGTCATTCACTCACTGAGCCGGGCAATTAGTGAGCAAATGCTCTTGCCGTCTTCAGGAGCCAAGTGACTAATCTGGTCTAGGCAATCGGGAAAAGAAGGGACAGGGAAAGTGAAAACAGAGGAGGGTTCCAGGTGGAAGGGGTGGCCCAGGGAGGCTGACAGTGCAGGGCCTGGGGTGAGACCTGCCTTGGACATGCAATGTGGAGAGCAATTTTTCGACATTCTAAGAGCATTAGGAAGCTGCTGAAGACCAGATATGCTCCTTCTTTTTCTTTTATGCATATTAAAATTTTTTTCTTGAGCCTGTATGTTTTTACAGTTAGAAAGCTTTTCACTAAACCATTATAATCCCTCTATTTTGGAATAGTGCAACCAGGTTGGACTGCCTATAAAAAATTGTTAATTAAAAAGTGCAAGAAGTAGGTGGGGATCATAGATAAAGTAAAACTGACTATGAGACAGTAACTGTTAAAGTTGAGTAAAGGTACAGAATGGTTCATTATATGAATCTTTTAAAAGCGTTGACATTCTCCATTTTTAAATGTGCAAGGACTTTAGGGGTAATGCTTCACTTGCAGACATACCATTTAAAATAATGCAAATAGGGACTTCCCTGCTGGTGCAGTGGATAAGAGTCCACCTGCCAATGGAGGGGACAT